ATTCTGGATCTCTTTCTATTTTTTTATTGCTTTCCATAACTTTTATCATGTTTGTTGATTAATACATTATAAGCATTTTCAGCAGTCCGAATCATTTTAGAACCCCACCCTCTCCAAAAAATATGCTAAAATATAAATATAGATGATAGAGACTGGAAAAATAGATAACTAAACTAAAAAATACTAAAATATAAAATAATATGAAAAGCCTAGAATCAAAAGTTTATTATCTGAATTGAGAAGAAGATAGCAAGTTAATTTCTCAAATTATTGACAAGGAAAAGGAAAGAGAATATATTCAACTAGAATTAGGTGAAAGTTTATATGATGATTTATGCAAAATGGTGGCTGAACAATTTCAACTGATGAAAGAATTAACACCAGTAAGTTCGCACCACCACGAATTACATGAAGGAAATTACAAAACTGCAATTTATTCTTTAGTTTATAAATGAGAAAAAAAGCGAACTGGATTATTAGATGCTTGAGCTCAATTAGGTTGTCGTTTGGCCCGCAGTCAGTATTTTACTAATGGGAATAAACGGACTGCTTTGTTATCAATGATAACTTTTATTCACTCGTGTGGTTTCCGTTTAAAAGATGATGAGAGCAATAAATTCCTTTTAATGAAGTGAGAAAAATTATTAATGGATATAGTAACAACAGAAAGTGAAGAACTAGCCATTGAATTAACTAAAGAACGAATACTATTAGAAATTATTAAATAAATTTGTTATGAATATAAATAATTTGGAAAAACAATTAAAAAAAAGTCAAAAAAAAGGTCGTTTAAACTGAAAGGAAGGAATGATGATTACTAAACAAAATAAAAGTTTGCTGGAAGTAGTAAAGCGATTGGCTGATAAATAAAATTTGGGGAGTTGCTTCTAGGCTCTCCCCTTAAAAAAACCCTAGATTTATTAAATAATGCCTCGAGAAAAAGTTTACCGAACCCCTGAACAAATCAAGGAATTACAAAAAGAACGAAGAAAGAAATACAAAAAATACTTTCAAAATTACAGCAAGTATTATTATTTAAAAAAAATCTTGACTGACCCAGATTATAATAAAAAAAATCATGCCAAGAAAAAAGAACAAAACAAGTAACATTAAAACTGTTTTCTCTTTTTTTACTCCAACACTAGTAAAAATAGGGAACAAAAAAATAGTAAAATTACTTAATATCTAATCTAATATGACTAATGAAAATAATAACACTTCCCTAACCCAAGAAACCGGTATTAATCGCCAATTATTTAAAGAAATTATTAGCAATCTTCCAGAAGAAGACCAAAAACATATTGGTGAATTTAGCAAAGAATTCAAAAATGATACGGCAGCAGAAATCTTAAAAGTAGAAGATAAAGATAAAATAAAGGCTTATGATAGTTTAAATATTAAAGATTTGCCGGAAGACTGAGAATTAAAACTAGCCCGCCTAAAACATTTAGAAAAGTTATTATCCGAATATGAACCTAAAATAGAAGAATTAAAAACTTGAACTGATACCTTTGGAGAAAAAAAGCCCACTGAAATCCAAGGAGAAATCAAAGATTTAGAAGTTAAGAATAAAGAAATTAGTGAAGAGTTAATTACTGAAAAAAATAACCATTCTTTAACTAAACAAAAACTAAATGAATGAAAAGGAATTTTGCCTAATCAAACTCCTATTCAAGTTAAAGAAAAATTAACTGAATTAGAAAATAAAGTAAAAGAGTGAACTCAGTTTTTTAACTACCGGGAATTGCCGGAGATTAAGCAAGAAATCGAAGTATTAAAAAAAAGGCCAGATATTTCCATTTCTACCCAACAATTCTGAGATGACTATGCCCAAAGAAAGAGTTTAGAGCAGAGTGATTTAGATCGACAAGAATTAGTTAGAGAAAAAGAGAAAGTGGTTGAATTAACTGAGCAAAACAATTATTTTTTGCAACAAGCCAACCGTATTTTAGAAAGTATGAGATTTAAAAGATATGTTTTAGACGAACCAGTTATTACCATTAACCAAGCTCAAGAAAAAATTACTAAATTATTAGAACGAAAGGAAAAAGAGTTGGAAGATTATCTTAATGGTGAAAAAGAATTAGTTAATAAAGAACTAGATTTTGAATTAAGTATTTATCCAGAAAAAAAAGTAAGAGCCAAACAGATTTTAGAATGAATCAAAGATGTTAAAACTAATCAAAACTATCAGAAATTATTTGAACTGTGGAGCGGAAGCAAGAAATACAATAAAGAAAATGATTTTGCTGATGGTAGTCTTGGTTTGTTAAAAAGGTATTTGGAAATTTATTCTAACGAAACCGAAAAGAAAGCAACAGTTTTGCATTCAAATGACTAAAGAGCTTTCTGAGGAACAAAAAAAAGTAATTAAAAAACTAACTGAGGAAAACCTAAAACTCGAAAAGATAGTCGAAAAATTTCATCAATCAAAAGAAAATTTTCCTGATCAAATTCCCCAAGGCAAACTAAAAAAACACTTTGTTCAAAACATCAGTACAAATAGAAAAAGTATTAATAAAAAGGAATATAAAACTTGTGAAATTTGTTTGCAAACTAAAAAAGATAGTTTCAAATATTCACGGATTTCTGCAAGAGGATTTAACACCTACCATGTTTATAGAATTTGCTCTTTTTGTCAAAAGACAGTCCAATTAGTAGTAGGATAAGGGTATGTCTATATAAATAAAAATCATGTCAAAAGAACAAGAACTTATTAATTGAATGACTGAAATTAGAAAGGATCTTACCTTCCCTAAAAAAATCAGACTATTAAAAGACTATTGAGAAAATAAGGACAAAATCCCCAAATTAGAAAAGGATGTAGAAAGTTGAAAATCTGCATGAGAAATAGTAAAGGAAAGTAACAAGGATTTAAATAAAAAATTAACCCAAAATCAAGAACAAATCACCATTCTAATCCAAAAAGCCAACCTCCTCCAAAAATTAGAAGAGGAATTAACCGACCTTTATAATACTTGCCAATTTACATCTGAAACACGTTCTATTCCGAATCTTAAAAATTTTTTTCAGTGAACTGTAGAAAATAGTGATTCATTAGAAAGAGAATTAAATAATTCTAGAAAAAAAATCACTCAAAAAGATAATAGAATTAAAGAACAAGCCGAAAAAATAAATAAAGCGGTTGAAATTTTAAAAAACCAAGAACAAAATATTAAAGATAAAGAAAAGATTATCCGAGAATTAGAGACTAGATTAGAAAATAGCGAGCCTAAAGATAATCATATTTATGAATTCATAAATCATTTACAAAAAGATTTAGAATTAGAAAAAAAAGCCAAAGAACTAATTGAAGATCAAGTCCAAGAACTACAAAAACAAGCGGAAGGTGATAATGCAGTTAGAGATAAAGAACTTCAAGAATTAAATGAAAAAGTAAATATTCTAACCCGACAATTACTAGAAGTCCAAGAAATACATCAGCAATTTTATGCTCTTTTAGGGCAAGTTTCAAATAAAACTGGATTATTACCTCGCACCCAACAAGTAATCAATAAAATTAAAGAATTACAAAAAGAACTATCCTTAGAAAAAGGTTGGTGAGATAAGTGAATTAATGAGAAAAAAAATAATAATTGAACTAGAAAGGAAACTTTTCGTTATTATTCTAGACAAGAATTAGATAAATACATAAAAAAGGTTTTTGATACTCCTATTAAAGATTTGGAACCGGTTAATAAAAAAGTAGTCTATTCTTTAAGTATAAATTCATCAGTAAAACCTTTTTTGATGGGGGACATTGAAGAGATATTTCCTTTAAAAAATCCAAAAGAAGCCAGAAAATTGATTAAAGTACTCTACGAATACTACAAGAATGAATAGTTCAAAAAAATTAGCACAATGTCAGAAATATTTTGATAAATCTTTTTGGTTCAATAATTCTACCACCTTTTCAATTGCTTCTCTCATCTCTTTATAACTTCTTGGTTTTTATTTCTCTGTTTGCTGTCTTAAAAGACAAAAAATTAACTCCATGGGGTTTATCATCGGATAAGCAGTGTTGAAAGAAATTAAAACTTACTCTCCCATATTTTCTATCCAACCAGGTATTTTATCTGGTTCAAAGCATTTATGGTCTTTAATGTGATCTTCTCCACGATTCATACCCAATTTGTTGAGAAAGGTAGTTTTTTTATCAAAAAATTATTAAAAATTAATCATGCCTAAAAAAGTTTCTTGGCCTAGCTCAGTAAGAGGAGAATTAATAATTATCCCTACTTACTCTTGAACTTGTCGCATTTGTCGCACTTACGACTGCCCATTCCCTTGTCCTTTTCTAACCCAAGAAGGTTTTTTTGACTGAGAAGCCTATTGAAACTGGTTTTTTAATACAGTTCCTTCTTACGATTGGAAAAAAAGGATAAAAAAAAACTAATATGGCAACTCTTAAATCAGTATTTCCAACCTGACAGCATATGTGATCAGGTTACCGGCAAAACTACCTTTTTGACGATGAAGCCTATAAAAAAACTTTGGGTAAAACAACCATTCATATTTTACTGCTTCATTCTGTTTATAATTATTGAAAAAATGATGAGTTCGAGGATGATGAAGAAAGTGCAGTTGATAAAATAATGACCTTCATCCGGAACAAATCGATTAGTTTGGCACAAAATCAAAATCTTTATTTAAAAATTTATGAAAATTTAAGTCTTCCGACAGGAGATTATAAGAAAATTCAAGAAATCACTACTGAAGAACTATCACCTTTTTATCGAGAAAGTTATTTTCCTAGCACTACTAAAAAAGGAGAAATTTCTCATCAAGGAATGCAATATCCTTCTCAAACCACCGAAACAATTACTAAGCAAAAAGGAGTTTCTAAGGGAAACAAACAAATTAACAAAACTACTTTTGATAAATACTATCCAATTGAAAAAAATTGAGTGGCTCGGTTAATCAACTCATTTTCGCAAGCAGGAATTGATTTGCAAACTGCAGTCCAAGAACTTCATCCCTTTTTTTGCTCAGTTTATCCTTTCGAGGAGGGAAATTTCTCTTATGATCCATCAATTCAAGAATATAAATGAAAGAGTAAAAAATCACAAGAGCAATTGGAAACTGATCCAGAAACTGGGCAATCCTTAGATGATGAAAGTTTAAGAGATATTGAGGAATCAGAATATAACCAATGAAAGGAAGATGGAAAAGAAGGATTAAGACCCACCTGGTATTTAGAAGGATCTTATCGCTTTTTAGGAAGGTTAAAGAACGAATTAAAGAAAAAGTCAGGGGCTAGCAAAGACAAACTTCAACAGAGAATTGAAGCAATGAAAAAACTGATTAAAATCTATGAAAAAGATTATGAAAAGCCTGACATTGAATTTTTCCTTGACAAATTAAATGAGATGGAAGGATTTGAAGAATACAAAAATATTGTTGGCAACTATTTTGTTAACTTATTAAATCCAACTGCTACACCATTTAGACCAAAATCTATTATTTTAGTAGGTCATGCCGGAACTGGTAAGAGTGCCATCGCAAATAAAACTGCTGAAGCATCTAAAAGAGCTTTTTTTCGCCTTCCGCTAGGAGGAGTGAAAGAACCGGTTTATTTAAAAGGAATGGATGCTGTTTATGGAGGGGCTGATCAAGGAACAATTTTAAAAATGACTTTAGCCAAGGGCAGTTGTCAAGGAATTATATTGTGTGATGAATTTGAAAAAGCAGGTTCCCGAGCAATTACTGACATCATTGGATCTATGACTGATCCTGATCAAAATTCTTTTTCTTTTGAAGATGAGTGACTCAAATGAAAAATTGATTTAAGCAAACATGTATTTATTTTGACTGCTAATTATGTTGAAAAAATAGAACCCTTTTTGCTTAGCCGAAGTCAAGTAATTAACATTCCACTTTTAAGTTATGGAAAAAGGTTAGAATTAGTAAAAAAGAAATTGAACAAGGTTTTAGATTTGGAAAATGAAACTAAAAGGTATGCTGATAAAGTCACAGATGACTTTTGTAAATACATAATTACTCAGGATTGAGGAATCAGGCAAACTTTAGCCAATATTGACAATCTTTTCTTAGGATTAAGAGCTTATGTTCTAATGGATAATCCTATTGATGATTTAAACAATGTATCAGAGGTAAAGGAAGAAAGATTGAGTTATACCTTAACTTATGAAAATAGTCAAAAAATAATTTTAGTTCGCTCTTTTTCAGAAGAAAAAGGATTAGATGGAAATGTTCATAGTGTTTTAACTGATATTCCAGATTGGCCGGGAGGAAATCCGCACAATGAGCAAGAAGAGAGAAAAAAAATAACTTTCTTAGATTTATCCAATCAAGAATTATATAATTTTGACTTTTCTCGTTACCCTGAACTGGAAGAATTAGATATTAGTAATAATAACTTTGATAAACTAGATTTAAGCAATAATTTGAAACTAAAATTCTTGAACTTATCTTTTAACGAAAAAATTAAATTTGAAGAGGTTGAATTTGGAGAAGCGAAAAATAATTTAGAAGAAATACATTTTATTGGAAGTTGAACGGAGGATACAGTGGACTTAGAAGAATTCAAAAAGTTGAAGAAGATAATTTATGATTGGAAGGTGGGAATAATTTATTTAAATAAGAATTTGAGAAATAGGGTTAAAGTAGAATATCCTACTTGGCAAGATTTAGAGGAGGGTGAAAAGTTGGAATATCAATCTAATAATTCTGGTTCCGACTATAAAAATGCAATGAGAGAAAAAGTAGTTTCCAGAGAGGAAAATTAAAAAAATGAGGGTTATAAATTAGAAAGTATTTTTTTTAATTACCAACCTAAATTCTTGAACTGTTTGACAGTTTGGACAGACTAAATTTCCTATTCCTTTTTTATTTTTATAATACCTTTCTAAAGATTTCTGAGCTAAGTATTTTTTTCGTTCAGGTTTTTGATTGTATTCTTTAAAATAAGCACTTTTGTTAACCATTTATTAAATAGTTTTATAAAATTGTTGTATAAAATTAAAATATATACAATAAAAACATGGAGAAAATGACAGAATACAATAATTTAGCAAAAAAAAAAAAAAAACAGTAGAATATTCCTTGCTTCAGTAGGGTCTAAGAAAAATATTTTTTAGTTATGGGATTTAATAATAAAGGTCGAGAGAGAGAGCAAGATAAGAATTTATGCGACTTCTGTCAGCAAGACATTGGGAAAAATTATGTCAAATATGACTTTGCTAATCTAAATGAGTATTATATTACAAATGACAGGACAGGAAAAAAATATCGAATTTGTCCTAAATGTTATGTTTGCTCTTATTGTAAAACAAAACCCATTGAGGTAATGAGTAATGAAAATGATGAGAAATGAAAACCTAATGTTTGACTTTGTGAGGAATGTGCTGACAATGCCGAACCACGACTAGAACATCGTAAAAAGATAGATAATTACAAAACATACCAAATTAATATAGATGGAGAAAAACGAAACATAAACGAAAAGGATCCTAACATTAAAGTTAGAAGAGGAATTTTAGGTGATAGTTTTGAACTTCCTCAAAGTCTAGATCCAAGCAGTAGGCTTGACGAGCCAACCTCTTATCACATTCTTACTTGCAACCTATGCGGAAAATCAAGAAATAAAAAAGTTGAAGAAAGCGACGAAGGTAAAAGTATTGAGGAAATAATGGGATCTTGTCCTTGTTTAAAAACTACTAAAACCCAAGGGATGATAAAAGAATTTGTTAAAGTTCAAGAATACTTTATCAAAAATAATATCGATACTATCACTCTTCAAGGAAGTGAATGATTAATAACATATAAAGACAAGAGCAATAAAACTATTGCTACTATTCCAAAATTAAGAGTGGCGGAAGAATATCTTAGAAGAAATAATTTAGATTCCCTTAATTCTTCTAAATTAGAAGTTTTACTTAATAGTGCTGTTTCTGATAATAAAAACCAACCTTTTAATTACCGACCTTTAATTATTGGAGGGTTAATAATAGCACTTGTCATTTTAATAATATCTTTTACTTTCTGAAAAATAAACAAGAAAAATAAGAGGAAAAGGAATTAGTATAGTTTAAAAATAACATGTGAAGAGTCAAATATGATTTGTAATTCCTAGCGAAGGAAAATGAAAAGAAACTTTTGAAAAAGGAAGAACTTGGCATAATAAATTATGACAAATTAAATCCTTTTATACTGAAATTTTCGATGACTTTTGTGAGGAAATTATAAAACAAATTGAAAACTTTAAAAAAAACTCCGAAGAAAATAACAAATTCCTAAAAGAAACAATCAAAGAATTAAGAGAAGAAGTTGCGAAATATAATATTTATACTGCCCAAGAAGAAAAATACTATGGTCGACCAGTTAAAGTAAGGTTAGAATGATTATTAAATAATGGTTTAACTTTTAAAAACTATAAACAATTTTTAGAATGAAACGAAAATAAAACAGTTTTAGAAAAATTAAATCAAAAAGTTCTTAGCGAATGAGAAGAAAGAGAAAAAATTTTAACTCAGCATGACATTGAATTAGTAGGGGAAGGACTAACTAGGAAAAGAATAACTTTTAACTATAAAATCCCTAAACATAAATTTACTGAAGTTTACAAATATCTCTTTTATTATTCGGGAATTTGATATGAAGTAAATGATCATAAACAGGTAGGGTGGGATCGAATAGAAATCATTGCTGATTATAGTTATTACTGAAATGATTATTGATATCTTCATAATGCTAATGCCAATGGTATAATTCATAATCACCCTCTTATTAAGAAAGAAGTGTGTGCTTGTCCTTCTTTTACCCAAGAAGAATATAATAATACTAATATTTTTTCAGTTGATTATGAGTTGACTTTCAATTTATGAAAATTTGAAGGAGTGGTAAAAGGATCTGGCTGGAACTATGCTGAATTAATGCTTCAACCAAATAATAAACTCCCTCACTTCAAAATTGGACCATGACTTAGAACTAGTCCAACAGATGTTTACAAAAATGCTTCAGACTGAATTACTAACACTGACAAGGCTCAAATTTTCATTCTTGCTAGTAGTATAGTTAAGAACTGGGGAAAGACAGAGACTAAGTTTAGCGAAGACATAATTTCAAATCTTTCTTACACTAAAATAAAAAAGGGAACTCCTGGTGAAGGAACTTGAAAAACTATAGAATGATATAAAAGTTTAGAGAAATGAATAATGGATACTTATACTCACGAGGGAGAAGAAACTGCTCACTATCAGGATCTTTTGGCTAACCATTATTTATTCAACCATGTTGAAGCAAGTATCTGTTGAAGGGAAAAAGAAATATTCAAAAGCAATCTCTTCTTTATATATAGGTTAAGAATTTTTGAAAGTGCTAACATGGGAGGAACTACAATTAATTTTTACATTGAAGATGAATGAATCGCTTCCGTTCAAGAAAAAATTAAAATTGTAGCAGGAAAAATTGAGGAGTCTAACAGTTTTTGAAAAGTGCTTACTGATACAATAATAACTGTGGGAAAAGGAGCTCTTTCAGGAGCAAAAACTGGTGGACCTCTAGGAGCATTTGCCGGAGCAGGTTTGGCAGCAGGGAAGAAATTTGTCGATAGTGCATTTCCTCAACAACAAACTTACTTTAATGAATATACTATTGAACAATTCGAACATGAGTGGTTAAGGGGAGGTATAAGACCTATATCAATAACATTGAAGCAAAACAAGGAGATGCTCAACCGCTACCTTTCCAACAAACTCATTAAAAATGCTGGGGAAGTAAATGAATATTTTACTGCATTCAATTTTGGGGCTATGTTGGACCAAGTAGGCTTTTGTAAGTTTAAATTTCATACCTTAAATTTTCATAGTAAACTTGAAATTAAAGAAAGTAAAGAATGACTTAAAAAAGAGTTGGAGGAAGGAGTCCAATTAGTCGGAGATGGCGAACATATTAAAGAATGATACACTAAAAAATTGGCAGATAAAGCAATCCAAAATACTGGTTCTCGTTGTCCTGGAAGTCTTGAAATGATCGAGATTACTAACACAGTAGGAGCAACTTCAGGTTGAGATAATGCTTCCCATGCTGGGGGAGGATTTTATGTTTATAAATATACAAATTCTAATGTAGGTAAAAGAAGTAAAATAGCAGTTTGCGAAAAAAAGGAAGATATGGCTTCGGCTCCTGATTTACTACCTTGGTTAATGGATGAACTTCAAAAGAGATACAGTTGATACAATCCTGAACATATTAATAATACTAATCGGTGAACTTTATTACATCCTAGTCCTACTTTCAATAAAATACAGATAGATATTCCAAGCAAATATTTGACCAAGGAAAAGAACGGAGTTAAATATTGCCCTGTTCATTATAATTTATACTTTTTTTCTTCTGAGGATTATAGCGATACAGAAAGTGAACTTAATGCCACTCATTTTCTAGTTTCTCGGTTAAGTAATGGTAATCAAGGAAAGATTGAAATTGAAATAATTGGTTCGCACATTATTAAAAATAAAACCAGCGGAGAACCACCTGAAGGATGAGGCGGATCACCTACTAGTTATAATCCAAGCGGAGGAGGAATACCATCTTCAGCCTTAGAACCAAACACAGAACCCGACCCTAAAGAACCTGAACAAGTCATAGAACCAGACATAACTATTCATGATCCTGGTCTAGAACCTGAACCTGAGGAGCCAAATGAACCAGAAACTGAAGTTACTGATCCAGAACTAAACGAACCTGCTCCAGACCCTGAAGAACCTGAGCCAAATGAACCATATGTAGAACCTGAGATAGAAATACCTGACATAGATGATAATGAACCAATCTTATAAATTACCAAAATAAATTATTCCCGACCTAATAGTTGATTATGAGAGAAATAAAATTAAAATATAGTTTACTATGTAAACTATCCTCTTTTTAAAGTTATTTTTGGACCTAAATAGGGGGGGTTTCATAACGGGTAGCCCCTAAAAATTAAAAATATGGAAGAGGAAAAATTATCAGAAAAAAATCTACTGGCAAACTCAAAAATATTTTTTTATAAGTTAAAAGATTTTAAAAAATGAGGTAAATTAGGAGGCAGACCGAAAAAATATGTTTCTCTTGCCGAAAGGCAGAAAGCTTATCGCCGAAGAAAAGCCTTAGCCAAAATCGAAAAAGGAGAAAGGCAAGGTATTCTCAACTTTACTACCGGAAGAATTAACAAAAAATAATTTATAATGAATAGTTTACTTAACGATAACTTGCGAGAAATCAAAGACAAAATCGGTTTAAAAAGTTGAAAAAAAGACAAAAATAATCATGATTATTTATTACTAAAGTTAGAAAATAATAAGGAAGGAATTTTTGTTTTCAATAATCAAACTCCTGAATATAAATGAAAGGATTTAAAAGAGGGCGAAGAATATGTATTTACTGTTAAAGAAGGAAAGCAAGGTGGCATTATTTTGGTAGAATTTGAAAAAACAGATATTTTCACTGTTTAAGAATTAGATAAATGTTTAAAAGATCTAAACTTTGAAGACCAAAAAAAGAAATTGAAGAACCTAAGCCTGTTGAAAGGTGTAGTTTTTGTAAAAATAATTCAGTTGGTAAGTTTAAAGGAGTGAGTTACTGTTCTGATAGTGTTTGTACAAAAAAGTTTTGAGACAAAAATAAATAAAACAGTAATATGGAGCATTGTTTTAAGTGTAAAGTTTCATACCCTCCTTACGAACTCAAAAGTTTTAAAAGCGGAAGAAGTTTTTGTTCAACTTGTATTTTAAAAAGTTTTTACAGTTGCGAATATTGCAAAGAAGAATTTATATTAGGTGACTTCGCTGCTGATTATAATGAAGGTAAAAAACTAGCATGAAAATCTAAAGAAGAGCATGTAAAGGCTTATCATGCTTAAAGTCCTCTCCGTTGATCCTTCGGGAACAGGAACCACGGGAATATGCTTGATTTGAGATTTAAAAAAAGTTTTTTTTCAATTCAAGAGCAAAAAGTGGCAAGAACATTATCAATACATCTTCAAACTGATTTTAAATGAAAAACCAAATATTACTTTAATAGAAACTGCTTACTATGAAACTAGTTCAGGAAATAAGGACATAATGGATTTGGAAAAATTAGTGGGAGCCTTGGAATGTCTAAAATTTCACACCAAAAGTCAGATAATTATGAGGCAAAATAAGATTACTAAGGATTTTGGTGAAAAATTAAGAGTTGAAGAAGAAACTATTCCTAATTTGTTCTATTTGAACGGAAAATGAATTTATTATGAAGGACAAGAAAAAATTAAAGAAAGAAAGGGAAGAGCAGAAACAAAAATTACAAGAGTGGATAAAGGAAATGGGCGGAAAGATTCGGCAGAAGAAATTCCAGCAGACTCAGCAGAACAAACAACTCAAAGAATCCAAAAACTCTCCCAACACCAAGTCGATGCCCTCATCATATTCCATCTTTACTCCAAAACTTGTCCATATTTTAGAACGAGTCCATGAATATCAAGAAATAACAGTTATCGCGAGTAGAGGAGAGGGAAAAACTTGAACAACGGCTCATTGAATTCTGCCATTGGTTCATAAAAGTAAAGAAAGATTTCTTTGGTTAAGAAGATACCCCGAAGACTCCCGTTATTCTCTATTGAATTATTTTCAAGAAAGAGTTAATGAATATTGCGATTGGAATAACATTTCAGTTAGTGAACAAAAAAGATTATGAGAAGTGATCGTTCGCGGAACTTTTTATGAAAAAAATAATAGCATTATTTTTGCGGAATTAGAGCATTATAGCAAGACAAGAGGTGCCTTTTCTAAAAATCCTTTCTTGATTGTTTTCGATGAAGCAATTCCTAGATTACTAGACTGAAAAACTGGCTACTTGACTAACGAGCCAGATAAATTTAAAGATTTTTGAAAAAGTATGTGGCGAAACAAAGAACTACCCAAGCCAACTATTTTGAACCTTTCCAATGCTTATGATCGAACTTATCACCGATTATCTGATTGAGATGAAGAAATAGATGAGATTGCTGATCAAGAATTATGAAAAAAAGGCGATAGCGAAGATTGATTCTTGGAAAGGGAAAAGGAAATATTTTGCCAAGATACTGGAAAAATAGTCAAAAAAAGATTAGTTTTTTTTCGAAAAAAGGGCGACTTAGAAGGCTGAAAACAGTTTTTTATTAAAAAGGGTGATTTCAATGTTCGAAAAATTGAGCAAGATAAACTTATTCCTTTGGAAAAATATAATAATAAATACTTGCTTTCTAGAACTCGTCAAAGAGACTATATTCTTTTTTTAAGTTACTTAGAAGATTTTTTTATAAAGAAAAAAATGGTTGACTATCATTTTGACTCTAAAACTTTTTTCTTAACTCCACCTAGTATTTGGAAAGAATTATTGGAGCCCAAACTATCTAAATCCAAAAAAAAAGAATGAACTGACTGAATTAATACTAAGGTTCTCTTTTTCAGTAATTTTGAAATAAGAAACGAGATAACTGAATTACTCTCCTAATATGTTCAACCTCAAAATTCAGAAAAAACTTGAAGAAGTAATTACCCCTTATTTAAAGAAAAAAACTGACTGAAAAACCAGTCTAGAAAAAAAAGTCTGGGAGGTCTTAACCTCCGAAAAAGCGATTTATACTTTGGTTAGTGAAGTAAAAGGGCATATTAAGTTAAAAAATAAAGAAGAAAAGGATTATTTAGTTCTCTGATTACTAGAAGGAGAAGAGAGAATACATGTCTATCAGGATAAACTGAAGCGATTGGAAGTTTGACAAGAAATCCTGAATAGCAAGTATCGCCGACAAGTTTGCTATTTAGATTTCCAAAAAGTTTATAAACTAAAAATTTTGATAGACATTAGATATGAAAAACTCTAAGGCATCCCCACGAAGTCGCTTTCGCTACCTTTTTTCGAATATAAAAAGGGGGGATAGGGTGGTTCACGGTAAAAGAAATATAAAACTAACTAAACTCTGTTTAGTATATGTTTTAAGTTTTACTTTTTAGGGTGAAGCAAACCTTACCCTACATTTTTTGCTGCTTCGAAAACAAAGGAGCGATAAAAAGCGAGGATTAAATATAACGGTAACCAATTTGGACTCAAAAACAAAATAAAGTTCGCAAACCTCAATTTTATTTAATATTTCTCTTTTTTAAAGAATCTAATAGTTGATGAGGAGGGGGGGGGGGGGGGGGAAAAATTTTACTATAATCTTGGTAAAGTTCATCATAAGAATTATGGATATAGTTGGTCGTTGTCTCCATTTTACTATGCCCTAATAATTTCTGAATAGTGGTTAATTTACAATCTCTACCATTTAATAAAGTGGCAAAACTTCTTCTAAAAGTGTGAGGGCTAATATTTTTATCCATTCCTGCCTTTATCACTTTTCGAAAAACCATCTTGCGAGCATGATCATTCCCTATTCTTTCTCCTTTCCCATTTGTAAAAAGATATTCCGAAGAACAAAATTTAAATTCGGATTGTAAAAATGGTGGTAAAAATACATGACGAATTTTATTCCCTTTACCATAAATTTTCAACATTCCTTGAGAATAATCACAATGACGAATATTAATTAACTCACTAATTCTAATTCCGGTTCAAAATAGAAAATCAAGAATTAAATTATCGCGGTAGTTAACTCGAAAACTAGTTCTAAAATTGACTTGTTTTAACTTTTCTAGATCTAACTCATTGATGGTAGCGAAAGGTTTTTTTTGAACAGTCGGAATTAATTTGGTAACCATTTCTCATTCAATAACTTTTTTTTGAAATTTGGCTCAAGAGCCAAGAGCATAGCGATAGCCCCTTAAACTATTAGGTTGGTATTTTACCGAATTATCTTTTAAAAAGTTAACGATACTTTCGGTGGTTAACTCATCATTACCTCATTCACGAATCATTCGACAATAAATTCGGACTGTTAATGGAGATAAATTTCTTTTTTTTAACCAAACTTCGTATTCCTTTAAATTATTATTTTGATATGTTTTATTAGTTTTATTTCCAAACATATACCATATTTTAGTATATTTTTATATGATATATTTTAAATTAAACTAACATAATTTCTTAAGACTGCTCGTCGATCTAAATTTGGAATGACTTTTCGATATTCTTTCTTATTATTAAAATATAGGTCTTTTAAACAACGATCACAAATTTTTTTGTCTTTTTCTTCCCTCCTTTCAGTTCAATAATCTCAGTTATTTTTTAGACTAAATCGTTTTTTTCAAGGAACATACTTAATCAAAAATCATTCTTCGCAACGAAAACATCTAACCAAAAGCGGTCTTGAAAAAGGTGGTCTCTCTTGCTCTTGCAAAATTTTATCAAGTTCCTTAAGTTTTTTTTCATTCCTTATTTTTCTTTCGGTTCTTAACTTTTCGGCTTGCTTTCTAGAACTAATTAAAATTTTTTCTTTATTTTTTTGATAATATTGGCGATGATATTCTTTTAAATCGGACATCAAAATTGGTAGGGGGAAATAAAAATTTTGTTAAATATAATATATAAGTATTTTAGTATCTTAGATTATTAATTTTTGAGAGATAATATTATAGAAATTGACTGATAATGTCCTATAATTGTAATTATCGGAAAAGATTTTCCTTTCATAAATTGTTTTTTGTCTATATGCCAATGTAGATATGAAAGAAACTAATGAGTAAAAAACGAGGAATCTCAAAAATCTAACCTGCAGCAAAAAATAGTAGAAAAAAAGAAACTTCTCCCTAATTTTAAGAACTTTTTCTAGGGAGTTCTAAATCCTCTTTTCTAATTTTTCGTAATTCAGAGGCCGGCATTTTACTAATTATCAAATTGTTAATACTTCAAAGTTTTTGACAAAAACGCCAACTCCCAATCACTTTATCTTCGTTATAAATTAAATCGGAGCCTCAAATGTTATTCTCTAATAAAAAAAGTCGTAGACTATCACAACCATACTTTTCTATTAATTCGTCAGGTTCAACTCCATTACCCAAAGATTTTGACATTTTTTTACCACTCTTATCCCTTATTAGTCCGTGCAAAAATACCTGCTTAAAAGGCACTTTGTTAGTGAAATAAGTTCCTAAAAATATCATTTTTAGCACCCAAAAAAAAAGAATATCATAACCTGTAATGAGAGTAGTTATTGGGTAGCAATTAGGCGGAGGTGAAGGAAATTTTTTTCCTTCTTTGGCAAGAACGACTAACGGTCACAAACCACTGGAAAATCAAGTATCTAAGACGTCTTTTTCGGTTTCTCACTCTCATAAATTACACTCATGTTCTATACATTCTATATTTGGGTCTCTCTTATACATTTCTACACAAACACATTTATTAAGTTCCTCACCTACGTAAATCTCGCCCGTTTTTTTATGGTACCAAGCAGGAATTTGGTGTCCTCATCACAGTTGCCGGGAAATACACCATTGCTGAGCCCTATCTCTTCAACTTTCTAAAACCTTTTGGAATTTGTTAGGCACAAATTCAATTTGAGACAAAAAATTAGTTTGCTTCTCCTCCACCTTTCTAATCAAATTAGGTAAATCAAGGAACCATTGCCGGGAAAGAAGAGATTCGATTAATGCTCCTGATTTCATAGAATAGGCTAAATTAGTTTCATATTCTTCAACTTTTACACAAATACCCTTTTTCTCTAATTCTAGAACAAAAACTTTTCGAATACTACTAATTTCCTGACCTTGCCACTGACCGGCTAGTTCATTTAAAATGCCTTTTTCATCACAGCAACTAATTATAGAAAGTTGATGCCTTTTCCCCAATTCATAATCAGTAAAGTCATGTCCGGGCGTACATTTTAAAACCCCGCTGCCAAAATCCATTTTAACGCTTTTATCAGTTAAAATTGGAATAATTTTTCCTGTTCAGGGGTGTTTTATTTGCCAGCCATGATACTTTTGATAACGAGAGTCATTAGGGTTAACGAATAGAGCCACATCTGCAAAAATAGTTTCCGGACGGCTAGTAGCTACTTCTAAATAGCCATTACTATTTTGGAAAGGATATTTTAGATAATAAAGTTTGCTTTTAGCCACTTTATGTTCTACTTCAATATCCGAAATCACACTTTCTAACTTTGGGTCTCAATTTACTAGCCTTACTCCACGATAAATTAATCCATCCTGATAAAGTTTTATAAAGGCTTCTCTAACTTGTTTTTGAACCGCTGGGTCAAGAGTAAAACTAGCTCTTTCATAGTCAATCAATAAACCCAATTTTTCCCACTGCTGATAAAAAATTTTTCTATTTTGCGGGTATCAGACTTGAAAAGTATATTCTCTTTTCTTTTCACGAGTATCAAGTTTAGTCAGATTTAATTTTTCAATTTTACTTTGGGCAGAAATCCCAGCATGGTCCATTCCTGCAATTCAGTAAATTGGCTCCTTAGTAAGGTAAGCAAAACGAACTAAAAAATCTTGGGTAATAGAGTCCAAGGCATGCCCCAAATGCAAATTACCAGTAATATTGGGAGGAGGCAGAAGCAAAGTACCGGCAAAATTGTTCGGTATTTGTTTTACTATTTTTTTTCAATAATCCGTTTTTTGGTTTTTCTCAGTTAAATGGAAATCGTATTTATTTAAAATCATTGCTTATTAGAATTTTAATATTAGTATAGTCGAATGGAGCGCCAAAATCCTAGAGAGAACAGAATCCGAAGGGCAAGAAATTAAATTTCTTCTCCTTGTGGAATTTTTTTATAGCATTTAATACATATCATAATACCAATTTTATGCTGAATAAATTCTGCACTCCCTACCTACATAGATAAAATATAATATATGGTTGGAAGAAGTGTAAACATTTATCTCCAAGAGGAAACCTATAATCGCTTACGAAAACTGACTGGTAGCAGAAAAATTAGTCGTTTTGTTGATGAAGCAATAATCGAGAAATTGGTTAAAGAACAAGAAAAAAATAAGGAGGAGATAAGAAAAAAAATGATTGAAGGATATAAGGCTAATGCCAAGAATAAAAAATTGCAGGCTGAATTAGGAATTTGAGAAAAAATCTCTGTCCAAGATGTTTTAACCCAAGTTGAAAAAAATGAGCGAAAGAAAGGAAAAAAGATCTAAACTAAGTGGGGGTTTAGGTTTTCCCTATCAAGGAGAGATTTGACTAGCCGAACTTCCTAAGATTAAAGAATTCTCTAAACCTTTTCGTCCAGTTTTAGTAATTAGCAATAACCTTCAAAATGAATTTGATAATCTTATAACCATTGCTACCTTAACCACCGAAGATGTTGATAATATTAGACCCTTTGAAGTTTTTGTGGAAAGCACCCCTGAAACCGGTCTAGACTACCCAAGTAAAATTCTGACTGGCTATGCTTTTGCTGTTTATAAAGAGTTACGTTTAGTTAAAAAGTTAGGAAAAGTTAATAAAGAAACAATGAAAAAGGTAAAAAATGCCTTGAAAATAACTTTTGAACTAGAAGATTAATTTTAAACTCTGCAAATTTTTTTTAACATATCTCACTTTTTCTTGCTTCTGCTCCTAAATCTAAGTTTAAAGCGTTTACTCACTCCTTGGTAGCCTGATTTTTCTCTTCTATTTTAGGTTCAGGATTGTTATCATCTTTAATTTTTACCAGTCAATGAATATCGTTTTCATCTATCACTAAAAAATCTGAAAATTAACTATTTCAGGGTAATTTTGAGCAAATTGTCTCAGTCGTTTCCTGATTTTTCAATATCCTCTTCAGTAATAAACAAGAAATTTCATTTCTTAACCTTGAGTTTAAAATTTAGTTTTTCTATTCACTTATTAGCCACTTCTGATTTTCTTTTTACAACCTCGTTATCTCTATCCTCTTCCGATTTTATTTCCACTAAATAATATAACTCATCGTTATCAATAACAATAAAGTCTGGATAATAGCGGCGATAGCCCTTATATCAATAATTAAGCCAAATATTATCAATTATAAGTAGTCTAATTCATCTTTTAACTTTCTTACTTTTATCAATTAAAACTGCAAATTTCCGTTCAATACTGCTCTGGAAACTGTCGTAAGCGTATAAACTTTTCTGAAACTGATATCCAACTTGCTTGGTTTGTTCGCTAAATTTTTCGTTATAATCAGAACTAACTTGTTTAAATGTTCCATGGTTATCCATGAAAACTTTTGAATACACTTGATAACCTTCGCTTTCTCAAATAGATTTTTCCGTATCTTTATCCAGTTTTGTTTTAGCAAATTCCTGGATTATTTTATTTATTTGATAGGCTACCAGTCGTAAGTTAGAGGCTACTATCTCCAAATTGTCTTCTTTTACCACTAAACTAGCAATTTGTTGAGCCGTTTCTAATTCCGGTAAAATTGGTTGAACGCAAAAGTTTCCATAAATACTTTGGGTTAGTTTTTTTCTAATTTCATTTAGTTCTCCTTTCTGCTGACTAGCCACTAATTCTTCTTCTATTTCTTGGGTTTCTATTTTATTTTCGGTGGCGGTGAACTCATGACGTTGGAAAAGATTTTCAATGTTATCTCAAGAAGAAAATTTTTGGTGAAGTTGGTGAAATAATTTTTGGTTTTTCTCATCAACTAGCAGATTTTTTAAAGAAAAGTTTTTGGGTGGTCTGAATTTAAATTGAGGTTTTAAAATTTCGAGAGTTAAATTTTTTTCTCGGATTTGGCTAATAAATATTGGTTTGGGCTTTTCTTTTGATTGAGGGTCAAAAAATTCTATTTCCGCCGAGTCAGTGCCAAATAATTTCTTAGTTAAGGCTTCTCGCTGTTTCAATAATTCTTGAAAGCGGTCGTGGGTAATAATTTCTAATCGGTTAAGTTCGCGAAAATTTTCTTCCACTCATTTGCCAAAAGGTAAACGTAAACCCCGACCAATAATTTGCTCGGTAAACATTTGCGAGGCAAAAGCTCGCAAAGGAACGATGACATAAACATTTTTAACGTCTCAACCCTCTTTTAACATTCCCACCGCGATAATGATTTTTTTCGGGTTATTAAAATCATCAATAGTTTGTAGTTCTTGGGCCAGAGTTTCATTAATATTGCTGCTGTCTACTCTAATTATCTCGGCTTCGGTTAAATTACATTCACTTTTTAGTAAAGTTTCGGTTTCTAGGGCATGTTGAATATCTTCGGCTATTATTAACATTAAAGCCTTACGAGGTTCAAGTTTATAAATTTTAGTGTAGAGATTAAGTTGTTCTTGTTTGTTATTAAGGCGAAGTAGAGCATCTTCCAGTTTGGTTTTTTCATTGTCATAACTGTCTTTTCGTCCCACAATTACCGGTTTTTTAATTAATTCGTCCCTTAAAGCATAAGCCAAGGGATAACGGAAAATTATTTCTTTTGGTGGGGTTTCTTTATGGGGAGTGCCAGTTAGACCAATTAAAATTTTAGGTTTTAGTTCCCGAATGGCCTCTGAAAACTTTTCCCCATAATACAAATGATGTTCGTCGGCTAAAATAACCAAGTCATCCAATTTGCTTAAATGTTCCCTTAAAGATGTTCCCAATAATTCATCATAATTGCTAGTTTTGCGAGCAGTTTTGCCGCGAACCTGGGTTAAAGATTGAACGGTGAAAATAAATAATTTAACCTGATTTTTATCAGTAGTTTTGGCAGTATGAAAATTTTTGATATCAATAATATGAGGCAGTTTAATGGTTAATTTATCAACTAGAGAATTAGGTTTATTGAGTGAAAAATTATTAATGGTCTTTTCTCTGATTATCTTTCCCGGAGCCACAATTAGAAAATTAGTTATCTTTTCGCTTTCGGCTAAATAGTTTAAAATAGCCGCCATGATATAAGTTTTTCCTACTCCGGTGGCTACCGCAAGAATACTTTCAGCCAATTTTTCTGAATTTTGGTTTTTGGTCTGGTAATAGTAGTTTAAAAAGGCTTGAACGGCTTGCTGGTTAGGTTCACGGAGTTCCAGTTTTTTGTAAATGTTGTCAAAATATAATTTGTTATTTTCTACATAAGTTTCTTTGTTTGAATTTACTGGGTCATCTCTTTCCATATCTTTTGTTTCTTCGGAAATTTTTTCTTCTTTTTCTGGTTCGTTTGGTTCTGGAACTTCCTCTAACTCCACCTCTGGGTCTTCCGGTTCCGGTTCGGATTCAGTTTCTAAACCTCCTTTCTCTATATTATCTCCGGTGCTTGAATGAGGCTCTTGGTTTTCTACATCCAACCCCCTCTCCTCCGAGTTATCATTTTCTTTTCCTTGAAATAATGACAGTTCCGTTTTTTCTTCATAACTGTAAATAATTTCTTCTATTTGATAATTATTTTTGGAGTCAGAGTAATTTTCTTTTGCTATTTTAACTTTTTTTTTCTTCCATTTAACAACTTTTTTCTTGGTAAACTTCAAAGGAAAAATTAAAAAAAATAAGTTAACAATTTTCTTTAAAAATTTGTCTTTCATGTATTAAATCATTTTTTCTCTTAATTTCACACAATTTATTTGTAATTCTGCTAGATACTTCATAATCGTCCTTATTTTTTCCCGTTTATCTCTCCTATCCAAAAGTTCTTGTTTTATTAAGGGAGTTTCCATTTCCTCTTCTTCTACTTCTAAATGTCGAATTTTTTCATTAACGTAAACAATTTTCTCTTCAATAAATTTGATTTGTAGCGGCAATAATAGTTGAATTTCTGGTGTTTTTCATAAAAATTTCTCAATAGAAGCAATTATTCCTTTGTGTTCGAATTGATGACTGTAATCTCCACTATATCCTAAAATGCGAAATAAGTCTCCAAGCAAGCAATGGCATATTTCATGGGCGGTAGTTCTAATTAATTGAAAAAAATTGTATTCTGGAATTTGACTACTTGGTTCAGTTAATTCGGTTTTGAATTTCTTATTCAATGAAAGAGATAATGTTTGCCTCATGATGTATTTATCACCTACTTTGTAGCGAAAAATTCTTGGTCTAACTCACCCCCTTAATTCACTACTTTCAACAAAACCATTAAAAAGGATGATGGGAGGAGAATAAGGAAAAAATTCATCACTTAGTTGATGGCGAAAGTGTCGATAAGTTGAATTTATCAGATGGCGAAAAAAATCATAATCAAAGAAACTTTCTATTTTAGTAATATTCTTATCTTCATCGAAAAATTTTTCAAAATTCCTTTTCTTTGTCCGCAGTTCAGGTAATTTTTGGTTAAGAAATTCATTTATCTCCTCAATTCTGATTTCTTTCTTTATACAACTTCCGTTATGTTTAGTTATAAAATTTCTTTTTTCTATTTCTTCCTTTTCATTCGCCTTACTTTCTGACAGTTGGTTATGTAAAGGATTTAGTAAATACTGGGAATATTTAAGGGTTTTTCCACACTTTCTACATCAATATGCCTCCGTTTTAAGAAACGAGTTTTTAAACATACTTATTTGTTCCACTCAATTAGATTCTTGCATAATGCCTTAAAATATTATTCGGTATCTTGCCAATCTTAACATTATTATAATTTTTACTCTCCAAGTCAGGGTCAACAGCCAAAGCAGCAATTTCTAAAAACTTATTTTCGCCTTTTGAATTAAGTAAAAAATTAAGCAGTCCATCAGTTAACATTCCCTCTACTACCGCTAATAAAACATCTCCTTTTTTACCACAAAAATATTCGTTTTCGGGCTGATAATCATACTCTAATTGGGTCGCAACTAATTTCGCTAATTTGCCATTCAAAACATTTTCGGCTAAACAAATTATCCCTAAGTGAGTATCAAACATAGACTTTTCAACTTGAAAATAAGTAAATCCACCTCCGCCCGTTCAATTTGCCTCCTCACTAATCCCGCCTTTATCCTCACCTAAAACAACTTTTTTTAGTCTTGGAACAGCAAAAGTATTAACTGTATTTTTGTTATTCTCCACCATAATTCATTTTCGTTTTAATTTTTGGGCCACGGCGGCTGTGGTACCAGAACCAGCAAAATAATCCAGCACAATATCTCCCTCATTCGTGGCAATTTGGATAATTCTTTGGAGTAATCTTTCCGGTTTGGGAGTAGCAAAAGGCTTAATGTCAGGGAATAACTTTTGAATTTCTTTTGTGCCTGTTGAACTCTGCCCCACTTCGTCGTGATTTCACCAAGTATGAGGCGGCCGCAACTCTGATTTTTCCGCATATTGTCTAGTATAGGGTTTTCATCCTTCTTTATTTTTAACTCAATCAATTTCATCTTTATTTTCTTCATAGGTCAACGCCCCTCATCTTCAACACCCCTCATCTTCAACACCCCGCGAACTTCGCATCGGGTAGATTTTTTCACCATCCGGTGCTGTAATTGGATAAAACATATTTGGACGGTCAGTCCGAGCACTGTTCGCTCCTCATTTTTGAAGCATAACCCTTTTGTAATAGCGGCCTTGTTTGTCTTGATACTTAAACTCTCGCAAATTAGGCTCTACTTTTAAATAGTTTGGTTTTCATTCACTATTCTTAGAATAAACTAATGTAGTGTTATGGCTAGTTGAAAATTGCTTAGCATCCATCGCGATACCTGGTTTGTTTTCTCATAAAACGCTTGCTGCAAAATTTTCCTTCCCAAAAATTTCATCCAAAACCAGTTTAAAATGATATAATTCGGTATCGTCTAAATGAACTCACAAAGAACCATCATCACTTAATAATTCATAGGCTTTAAGTATCCTGTCCCTCATCATAGTTAACCAAACTGAATGCTCTAATTGGTCGTCATAATTAGCAAACATTTGTCCGGTATTAAAAGGTGGGTCAATGTAAATTAACTTGACTTTATTGACATACTTTTTTCGGTATTCTAGTATTTTACTTAAACTAATTAGGGCGTTTAGACTGTCCCCGCAAATTATTAGGTTATCCGTAGGGTTTTCACCGACTTTCTCCATTTCTTTTAGTAATCGCACTTCGGAAACTCGGTAATCATTAGGGTCCACTCATTCATACTTAACTTTCTCATAATCACTAACGATTAGAGTTTTGTTTTTGTTAACTCAATTTAGTTCTAGTTTACCGGATAGTTTATTGCCGTTCTGTGCCATAATTGTTTTATAAATTAATTTTTGTAAAAGTTGCTAATCTATTTTTTTTCCTGTAAACACTATTCATAAAGCCTTTCAAACTTGGTTTCAAACCTTACTGTCTACCGTTCCTAATCTAGTAATCAACCGTTCCTCTTTTTCTATTGCTAATAAGCGATGAACCAGTATTTTACTCCTTTCATTATCTAAGCCATTTTCTTTATTTCTTTCAATTAATACCTCAAAGGGCTCAATATTTTTTAATTCTTCCTCTTCGCTAGTTAAGGGAGCCGCTACTGAATAATCATTATACTGATTTTGTCAATTATTACTCATAATTAACACTGGTCGGATTTTTGATTGTTCTTTAAATTTTTTTCGATTAAAATCGGCTAGTCAAATCTCACCCTGTTTAGGAATTTTCTTACTCATTATTTTATTGCTTCTTCCACTATTTCATCCCAAATTTTACTTTCTTTTTTTAAGGTTTTGCTCCGGGCTGACCTTTTGTAACCAGCAATTAGTTTTTTTTCAAATTCTCTTTGTTCCCTTTCTAATTTGTTATCATGTCCTCCTAATTCCTTAGAAATAGCCTTTTCTACAAACCCACTAATTTTGCGACTGCCAATTTCCTCTTTTAGACGTTGATATAAATGAGAACTAACAGTGATACTTAAAGTTGATTTTATTCTTTGGTTTACCATATAATATAATTTTATACATTGGACCAATGCAATAGAAAACAAAAATTCTTAATCATTACTTCGTCTTCTAAATTTGCCGATCCATTAGTGAAAATGCTACCAATATTCTTCAATTAGAGTCCCATCTTTATTAACTCAATTTAGTTCTAGTTTACCGGATAGTTTCATGTGTAAATAAATTTTTAAAATTGTTTAACACCATGGTCCTTGAATACTTTTATATATCTATTTCTTTCTTTTTATAATTTATTCAATAACTGGTTTGTTTAGTGCTCTTTTCTAAATAATTTGAATTGCTTTTTATTACTTTATTCATTCTCTTTTTTCTGCTTTTCTCCATCTTCTTATAAACTCTTTCCATCTCCCCAGGTTTTTTGGAAATTTCTTTCATTATTTTTTCAAATATTTTCAGATTATCTAAAGCATCCGGCAAGGCCCGATGTTCTTCCTGATAAAGAGAATTTTTTGTAATTTGGCGCATGATATTTTCGAGACTAAAGCATCCCTTGTGATCGCGATTCTTATTTATGTATTTTTGATCATTTTCATAGCATTTATGTTCAGGAAAAAGACGTTTAAATTGACTATAAGTATCAAAAACAAGATTGGGTAAAATTTCTTGAAAAAAAATTCATCAGACGTTATTTAAGAAACGGTAATCAAAACTAATAGCATTATGTCCAACAATTATGCAGCCTTTCAAATCTTCACGGACAGAAGGAAGAATTTTTTCTATTGGATCGGACTTTTTTAATTCCTCCAAAGAGATATTATTAAAAAAATTAGTTGGCGAATAGATTTGTCGCGACGGACATACCAAGTGGCATACTTTTTTAATAATTTTTCCATTTTTTCACTTAATGTAAGCAATCTCAATAATTTCATCCTCATTGGAAAATCCTGTTGTCTCTAGATCTATGATAGCATAAACTAATTCTTTTTCTTTTGAGAAGGTATGCTCAACTTCCTTGATTAGGCTCGAAAATTGTGCCACTTTAAAGAACTTCTTTTTTTCAAAACTACCCTGAACAATGACCTCTTGATTTTTAACTAATTTTTTTATCTTTAACTTTATTGACGAATCAAAATCTTTTTCTCAAAAAAATATAGGAATATCCTCACTTCTCTCCTTAACCCTTAAAAAAGAGAAGTAGTACTCATCGCCACTGTTACTAGTTCTTATACTGATATTATTTTTCAATATCCCCTTAAACTTTAGTAAATCATTACCTTTTCTTTTATTGTAATTTGTTCTTTTTTTCATGAGCAATTTACATTACTAAAAATCAAATTCAAAAATCTTTAATTCACGCATTTCTTCCACTAGTTCGCTTGCTCTATTTTCGATATCTTTAGGATACAACTCCTCTCCCTTTTTTAATTTTTTATCAATAAGTTTCTTGCCGTTTTTTTCAAATCTTAAGCAAACATTATTTACATATTCGGGATTCCTTATTTTTTTGCTTCACAAACCATCCCTTGCCACTTTGTTTGAAGCATCTTCTATAATTGTCAAATTACCAATGGAATTCACTAGTTTCATTAATTCTTTTGAGTTTTTTTCTTTTCACTTTTCAATCGTTTTTCAAGGATGATTTTTCTTTTTAATGATGCTTTGGGGTGCTAGATGCTCCATCTCTTCTTTTTCATTATATTGAAAAACACTCGGATTTAATTTCAAATAATATTTGCCAAATATGTAGCGATTCTTATCTTTTTTGCTTCTATGATTAAAGTTATGGATGATTATGTTAAAGAAGGAAAGATAGAGAATAGAGAAATAAAAAAATATGAAGATCAAAAAGGAGATATCATAAAATTGATCTTTGTTGATCCTGACCTTGATGAAGAAGATTATTCTAAAAATATTTTAAGGTTTGAACCCCATAAGCGTCTAGAAAGGATAGATTTCTGAAAGTTGTTTTCTAACAAAACTTATGAACGCTCTGCTTTTACTAATGTTTTGGGTGCGCATGAATTTTTCATTAAACAGATTAAAAAAGAGAGTTTAATGCTAAGTTTAGTAGAAGTAAAAACTATTTTTGAAACTCTGAGCCAAAAGTTTAGATTTACCGTTATTAATTTACCTAAACAAACAACCTCAGAAGAAGTTTTAGGAATTTTTGAAATAATAAACGATACAGGACAGCGTCTAGAGCCTGCCGACAAGTTGAAGAGTCTTTTATTTGAGAAGTCAATAGAGAGAAAAAAAGATAAAGAAGAGGAAGAAAAAATTCAAAAAGAAGTTGATAACTCCTGAGAAGAAATGGAAAAAACATTAGACAACAATCCGATAAGTATCAATAGTTTCTTATACAATTTCTTTGCTTCTATCTTTGAAAGAAGTGGAAAATTAAAAAAAAAAGAGTTTTACGAATTTGCAAAGGAACAATTTGAATCAGAGGAAGAGAAAAAACCAGTTGACATGACTCAAATCTCTACTTATTGATATTAAGAGATTAGGGTATTATCAACTTCACCAACTTATTCTAGCACTGCGTTTTGACAATCATTTAAAATCAAACCAAAAAAACAAAATACTAGATTTAATAGTCAAATGTATGTTCCGAAGAATTACTGTTAAAGATCTCAAAGCTTCTAAGGAGTTCGAAAAAAGAATCCAGAGTTGAGTAGTTTTCGTACAAAAAGGAGAAGGCGAAAAAATTCTAGAGGACGAGTATTTAAAAAATGAATTCACACTGCGTGAAGAAAAAGACGAGTTCTATAATAAACTAAAGACAA